CTCCCAATGAAGTGATGTGTGTATTGTTTCCCAAATAAAGGATAAGTTTGCCCGGCGCTGCTCAGTGGAATGGCCTGCCCCTCTATCTCACAAGTATATGGGGCAAGACGTTACTTGGAAGTCACGGCCTATGCTCTCTCCTCCATGTAGTTCCTGCTACTCCTAACTAACTCTTTCTTCCCCCACGGTAGCAGCAACTAGATTTTCTGACATTTATTTATTTAAGGAAGGGGTTGCAGAAAAGGAGAGGGAAGCCTTTAAACTTCCAATGTCTCATATTGTGAATTGCAAAACTTGGACCCTTGAGCTTCCAAAGCTCACGTCTACAGGGAATCAGAGCCCAGACAAATCGTCGCCGGGCAGAGGAAAGTCCCCACCTCCCTGACTGACAGCATTTCTTGGATCTGGGGAGAGGAAAGAGCCAAGGGCAGTGAGAGGGAGGAGAGTCGGCTGGGTCGGGGATGCGGGGGCCACACACACCTATTGACAGCCCTCAGAGAGTGGTGGAGGCCCCCTGGCACCCCTCAAGTGTCTCCTGGAACAAGAACTCTTGTTACTAATCCCAGGAGCTGCCTGGGAGCCCAGCTGGCCCCCCAGACGATGAGTCTCTGCCATCCCTATTGAGAGTTAAGTCAGGAAACTAAGACGCGAGGAAACAATACAAATCGGGGCCACTTTTCTATAAAGGAATGGTTCTCAAACTTTAGATGCATCTGAAGACTTGTCAAAGTACAGATTGAGAGGCACCACTCCCAGAGTTTATGACTCAGTGGGTCTGGGGTGGGGCCCAAGAATTTGCGTTTCTAACAAGTTCCAGGGGATGTTGCTGCTGTTCCTTCCAGGGACCCCACTTTGAGAACCACTCCTTTAATAGAATGTTAAAAGACACATCTGTGAGGCCACCCTCCTGCATGGGTTTCTGCAATTCCCCACAAAAGCAGATATTTCCATATCCAACTTCCATGTAAGAAAATTGGAGTTCAGAGAGGTGAAGTAACTTGATCGAGGTCACACAGCACAACAGGGGTGGGGGAAGAACTAAAATCCATGTCTTCTGGGTGTCCATCCAGTTCTCCCTCCATTCCACAGCCTGGCTGGGGTTGGACCTCAGATCTCTGCTGTCAGATGGAGTGGGCTGCATGTGCCCAGGTTCCAGGAGAAGCCCTGACCCAGCCAGCTGGAACCCCGGGGGCTGGTAGTGGCGGCCAGCCCCAAGCACACGGGAATTACGGATGCTGGGCAGAGGCTGTGCTCCACACGAGCGCATACTGCTCTTCCAGGGGATGGCAGACCCCCGCTGCTCCCGTTATGTGAGTTATGTGTTATAGCTCTCAAGGGACGGCTTTATCTCGGCTTTACTCACTTCTGGAGCACCCGTTTTGCCCACTTAGTGCTTTCAGCTTTATATATCATTATCCGTGCTCTGTTCTCCTATCACAGACAGTTTAGTCCTTTTTGCTTTAATTTCTCTCCTGGTGTTCTTGCCAGGGGACAAAAGGGAAAGGAAATGGTCCTCTGGAAGAGAGAGAAAAGGGACCAGATGCAAACTCCTAGTGTGGGCGGGGGGCATCCCCCTTTTCATCTCCTTTTCTGCACAAGGCGGTGTGGTGAGGGGGCAGGAGCAAGGGCTCCACGGTTCTGAGCCCGGCTATCAATTTCCTGGCTGACGACAACAACATTAATAGTATAAAAGCCACCACTAATTGAGCACGCCGCCAAGGACCTCGTGATTCCATTCAGATCCACTTCCTGCTCTAGATACTGTCGTCTCCCCATTTCACAGATAAGGACGTTGGAGCTCAGAGCCATGAAGTGACTTGCCAGCAACCATTTGGCAGAACTGAGAGGACTCGAACCCCAGACTGTTCCTCTTTCACATCCCAGACTCTTAAGCTCTCCCTAGACACACTCTCATCTTTGGGGGAAATGCTGACTTACCTGCAGTTCCATTGTTTCAGGAACCTGGTCTAGCATCTGCCATCTCCATGGCCTCCTAGTCACATTTATCTTCTGTCCCTCAGTGTGGAAGAAGGCCAGTCCCTCACATCTGCTCGCAGAGGATTATACTCAGAGCTTGCAGGGGCCTCAGCAGTCAGAGGTCCCCTGGTCTTCCTAAAGTGGTCCCCAGACCCAGGAGGCTCCATAGAGACATCTCTGGAGCCACAATGGAGCAGAGAGGAAGCCAAGCACAGGCAGGACCCTAGCCAGCTCCCGTCTTCTTCCAAACACAACTGCTTCAGTGAAAAAGCTCCACATTTATCTGTTGGATATGCCAAGCTTCGATATAAGCGTTCAAGAAAATTAAAAGAAAAGTTGGAAACCCTTGATTTTGTTCAGCCTTCCTAATTTACAGATGGGAAATAGGGAACTCACTCGTCTCTATAGCAGGGACGATTTGGGGATCTTGGGGTGACTTACAAACAGCAGAAACTCAATGTCTGGCCAAGAGAATCTTGGGCAGTCCTATTGAGATGTGTCATCTGCTTGGCATAAGTGGTAGAAAATGTCCTGGTCCATTTATGACTCAAAGGAGGAGTTCTTTACAGAGGGCTTCAGAAGTGAGATCACCCACTTCTCACTCCTCTATCCAGTGCCAACACATCACCCTGAATTCTGACATCCATGTGACAAGGCGACAGTGACCCGGGAAGCTTACTTGAGAGTCAATGGCACGGCTGAGTCTGATGTTCAATTCTCTGACTAAGCTTTTTCATTTTCCATCTAGACCAGATGAGATGTCCCGAATGTCCAGACCACACACCAAAAATCCTAACCATACTTCCTTTACCCGTCCCAATCCCTAACATTGTGGACGGAGGACCAGGGGCCGGGGAGGACCAAGGCAGAGGGCATCTTTTATTTCTGTCTGATGCCCCTTTCCCACTCCATGTGGGGTAGGCAGAGCTGCCAATCAAATGATACCATCTCCATCAACAGGGCAGGCGACCCAAGGAGGTCAATCAGATTCCCCATCCTGGTATTCGAATCTTGAGAGCTAACACAGAGGGATGGAGCCTGGTTAGGACCCTGTGGTCACTCTTTGACAGCATTCCAGAAGGAGAATCACAAATCCCTGATGCCAAGATCCCCGGAGGGGCCCTGACCCCTGATGGCCCTGAGGACTGTTTATTCATCAGCTCTCCAGTGTCCTTCTCACAAATGCCCTTTGGCTATTGTTTATGTCAGAGTTGGTTTCTCCGGCTTGCCATGGTAAGAGTGAATCAAACCCAACTTAAGCCAACCTGTCTCCAGATAGAGCTTGCTCAGCTCCATTAATTGGGTATCAAAGATGCAGTTATGCACAGGGAAAGCTGTCTGATTCTAGAAGATGTCAGCTATTAGAAAAGGAAGCAAATCTTGAGAGGTTCTCCATGGCCCTCAGAGTTCACCATTAATGAATCTCAACTTCAAGCCCGTGTGTATCACTTCTCTACGGAAGCATAACACACCACTCTGAAACTCAGTGGGTCAAAACAGTAAGAATCTATTATTGCGCATGAGACTATGGGTCAGCTGATTGAGTCTTCTTAACTCAGCTGGGGTCCATGGTCTCGTCAGCTGTGGGTCAGGTAGATGGTTTTGCTGTAAGCTGTGCTCTTGCCCACATTTTTGGGGATTGGCTGGCCATAAGAGAGGGCATCTTGGCTCTTCTCCACGAGGTCCCTCGTCCTCCAGTAAACTAGCCCAGGCTTGTTCACGTGGCAGAACCGGGCTCCAAAGGAGACAGCTGGACCGTGAGGCCTAGGCTTGGAGGGCTCTCTCCTATAGCATTCTATTAGACAAAGAAAGTCCCAAGGCCAACCCTGATTCAAGGGGTGTGGACACAGGCTCCATGTCTTGATAGCTGCAAAGTCATATTGTAATGAGCCGGGGTGGTGGGGGGAGCTTGGAGAATTGGGGCCATTTTTCTACCATCTACCATACCGTATAAAAGTAGTAATATGACTTAACAAAACCATGGTGTGGAGAGGTTCAACTACTTGTCCAAAGTCACAAATTGTTTCAGAACAGGGTTTCTCATCCTTGGCATCACTGACATTTTGGACAGCATCGTTCTCTGTTGTGGGGGCTGTCCTGTGCATTGTAGGATGTTTAGCAGCATCCCTGGCCTCTACTCTCTAGATGCTGGTGTCGCCCCCCCCCCAAGTTATGACAAGCAAAACATCTCCAGACGTTGTCCACTGTCACCTGGGGGGAAAATCCTTGTCCCCCTAGTTGAAAAGCACTGGCTCTAAAGCCAAGACTAGGATTTCCACACTCCCCACTGCCCAGAGAAAACAATTCTCAACAGACTTCAAACCAAGAAGGGGCTCTGATTCTCACTGCAGTCTGGGGGTGACAAAAGCAGCCACCCCCTATTTCTTCTCTACCTGTCTTTACTCTGTCTTGGGTCTCCATGGATCCGGAGCCCAGCTGCCTGAGAAGCTTCAGACATGGAACCACTGGGCCACCCCCCGCCCCCGAGCCCCCACTCACACTGCCAATAGGACCCGGTTCCTATAACAGGAAACATTCACCCTACAAGATATGAGCAGGCCCGTGTTCAATCTCAGTTAACTTTTACAGCACTTTCTCCCATTTGCCGGCCACTGCGGCCGAATGCGAAAGCACTGGCTGTTTCCTTCGCCGGGTATTTTTCATCCTGTGTCAATTAGCACGGTGAAGGGAATCTAATAATGATGTATGGGCTGTGCTGGGGCGGCTGGCGCTGATGGCTGTGCAAGGAGAGTGGATTGCAGGGAGGAGCCCAGGCTGTGCTCTGCTCTGGACGCCGCTGGACACGATTCTCCAGGGCTCCTGGCAGACTGAGTGATTCCTTTCTAGGTGCAGTTTAACCCAAGGAAAGAAAAAAAACCAAGAGAAACTTCTGTATACAAACATGTCCAGGCTGAAGGGGACTTAGGTCTCATTCTGTCCAACCTCCTCCTCATACATCTCAACTTGACCCCAGAGAGGTCAATTGGCTTGTCCAGGGTCAGCCAGCCAGTCAATACCAAATCCAACCCTAGAAGTCAGATTTTCTGATGCCCAGTCCAATAGTCTTCTTACACGTTTTTTTCTTTGAAACGTGTACCTTTTTTTTTCTAACCTCTATTTTCCAAACCTCTGTATTCTTCATTGAAACTTAAACTCAACAGGTATGGAATGCCCTTTATGCACAAAGCTCTGGGTTAGGGCATTCAGTCTCTTCCTGCAGGCATCTCACAATGTAATAGGGACAGGAGGTTGGGAGAGGAGAAGACGGACATAAACAGAACTAACACACAAGTCAGGACTTGCTCAGTCCATGAGAGTTAGGGAGGTACGATGGGGGTACAGAGGAGAGATTTGCTCCATGTCAGAATGCCGGCGTGGCTTTCGCCCTCTGCAGGTGTCGCTGAAGACGAAATCAATCCATCTCCAGCCTTAGATCAGAGTGATGGGGACGCGGGGGCCCAGGGCCTGGCACATAGACCATTTATTTCTGCAGCTGGCACCACAGGCGGGATATTCTGATCCGTTCAGAGCCAGCGCCATCTGGTGGTCATACCTGAGGGAGCCAGAGAGCGTCACCGGATGAAATTTTTCCAGAGCTTCTGCAGATGGTTTCCGTCTAAAAAGTGGGTTGCCTGTATAAAACGACCCCATTTTAATAAAATTGAAAATCTAGGCAGAGCTGTAGATAAATGTATAATGATATATCCTGAAGGAAGTTCACCAAAACGTTAAAAGCCATATATCTGAGTGGTTCATTTCATCTATGTATTTTGTTCTATATACTCCTTATCATTTGATTTTATTTTAAACAATAAATATAGATTCTTTTCAACCAATGAAAATGATAAAATTATATTCATTTTGGAGGGGAAAATATCAATGCAGAGCCTGAGGGTGGCTCGACCCAGAATAAATCATCGGGTTACTCCTCCGTGCTGAGTAACCTTTTAACAGGAGTAAAACCAGGTCAAATGGAACTCAAAGAGTAGCCTGGAAGAGGGAAAGCAGGGAAGAGATGTCACACGAGGACAAGAAGAAAGCTGGACCAGTAAACTAAATATACTTAGGTAACTCCAAGAAATTTACAAACTGCTTCAACGATCCTTTAACTTGCAAGATGCCCAACCAGCTTCATGCCGTGGAGGCATCTCGCAAAACTCTGTTCTTATCTCTGTTTGAGCTCTGCCTAAGCTATATTATAATTTATCTCTTGTGACCATAATGAATGACGCTAAAACTGATTGAACATTGGGTTGACATCAGGCGCTGTGCAAAGAACTCTGCATACGTTACCACATTTAATCCTCACAACAACCCCATGGGGTAGATACTATGATGATCCTCATCAAAGAGATGACATAACTGAAGCCCAGAGAGCTGACATCTCCCCTGCTAACTCGTGAGACCCGGGACACCAGACATTATATTGCATTTGGCTTTGTAACCCAGGACCGTATGGCAGTGCCCAGGTGGGTGAATGGATGAATAGATGGATGGTGTGTTGGGAAAAGTACAAAACTAAGAAGAAGAAGAAGAAGAAGAAGAAAACCTCCAATGAAATGAACCTTTGTTGAGCACCTACAACGTACCAGACAGGCTAGTAAGAGCTGACAGTAGAAAGATGTGTAAGACCAAACCCCAAGGTGCTCCATTCACTGAAGTAGAGATCCTAGAGGAGGGTCACCTCTGTGTGGAAGGATCCAAATTCTATGATGATGATGATGATGATGGTGATGATGTCAAAACATCAAGAGGAAACACTTAATTTAACATAACTTAAGGAGAGCCTGTTACTAATTACAAGAGTGTGGGAAAGTAAAGGGTAGGCATTCTCAAACGTCAGCGTGCATCAGAATCATCCAGAGCGCTGCTTCAAATGCAGGCTCCCAGGCCCCACTTCTAATTTCCAGTTCATAAGGATGGGGATGCGGCCCCCAAATTTGCATTTCTAGTAGGTTCCTGGATGATGCTGACACAGCTGGTGCAGGGCAACTGCCATGAGGGTGAGAGCAGTAACCTGGGGCCAGCAGCGGTGGAGGGGCTGTTACTGTCCCAAATCATCAGGGACAAGGAGACAGAAGAAAAGAGGGAGTGGCGCAGAGAAGACCACTTTGAAAGGAGAGGCTGAGGCTGCCTTTCAGGAAGGGGGATGGAGAAGGAACACTGCAACCTCCCCCCTTCCTCCTCCTCCTCCTCTTTCTTCCTCCTTCCTCCCTCCTCCTAACTGGTCTAACTCAGCCAGAGTTGATGAGTTTCAAATGGCTCAATCTCCCAGACAGCACAAGAAGGAGACGGGTGGAGAGTGGATCCAGAGGGACAGATGGAAGATATTTCGTACACATGTGTTGAGCTTAAAGGATCAGTGAGAGATCCAAGAGGAGGCGTCGAGCAGGAAACCGAGGGCAGGCTGGGGCTCCGAGAGGAAATCTCAGCGACCAGGAATGCAGCCTGTCACATCTATGCTGCTGGGGGCCCAACCAAGAGGCCCAGAGATTCGGCAGTGCATCCAACAAGAGGAGAGCCCCCAAGTTGTGCTCGCAGAATTTGAGAGGCCTCGCCAAAGAGGCACTTGGGGAGGTCAGGATAAGCAGAGAGAAGAACTGAGATGAGGATGAGGCTGGGAGAGAAAATTCAAGCGCAGAAGCGGGGCAGGGTGGGTGGGTGGGGTTGAAGGATAACTTGATACAGCCCCAGAAGCATCGACGTTAAGAGGAAGCCAGACACTGCTACATCAAAAAACAAATGTAGCTCAACACGGCACCAGCCCCTATGGAAGTTCCATCCACACAGTCAGGCAGTCTGACTCACCCACTCGACAGACAACCGCCTCCGGAGCTGAGGACCCTCTTCTTGTGCCTTTGATTTCACAACTCCCCCTCCCGCTCCAGTTCAGTTCCATAAAGCACCATCAAGAATCTGCTATTTGCCAGCCGCTAATTGTGAATTGCTGTGCAGCGTGATGTTTTTCAATCTAAGAGACTTTGGAGAACATTCTGAGAACCCCTGAGAAAACTGCAATCATCAGGGAGACCCCTCCCCTTCCATATTAGTTTTTCATAAGCTTTCTGGTGCCTCCAATTTCACCATTAAAGATTCATTCCTTTGGCTTAAGGCTTTAATCCTCTATTAAATGTAAATCTCACTGGCAAGCCGATAGTGTTTGGGGAATGAGGTCATACATTAAGCCTTATCTATCACTGACACCTCAATGAGAGTGAGTTGACAGTCTTTTCAAGAGCCAGGTTTAATAGGTGAGAAGAGAGATAAATGCAAAGGTACTGGGGAACTTAGCAGCAGAGGGGGAGACACACAGGGAGATAGGATCAGAACTAACGTTTATTGAGGCATTATGCTAATAAGAAAAAGAAAAATAGCTACCTTTTACTGACTGCTTAAATGTGTCAGGTTCCAGGCTGCGCTTTCTACATACAGGGGGGAAAATTTACCATGAGATCTGTTAGCGTTTTGTTCTCGGTGCTGAAGGATGCTCAAAAGATCAAGAGGGATTTTCTTTGCTTCATCTTAAAAACAAGTAACCAAGCTTTGGTGTTCTGGGACTCTGCTCCTATATGTCTCATCGGTTAGGGTGCCTTTATCTAACAAAATACCCACATAAAAGTGGCTAAAACAATGGGCAAAATATCTCACCTCGTATAATAAGAAGTCTGGAGGTGGGAGGCTCCAGATGAGTGACCTCAGCTGTCTCCTTCCTTCAGCTCTGTCATGCTCAGCAGTTGCCTTGGTCCTTGAGGTTGTCCCTTAATGGTCACAAGACAGCATCTGCCGTTTCCATCATCACGACATTGGGACAAAGAAAAAGGGGTTTCCCCCTCTGTGTCTCTTCTATAATTGGGGACTCAGTCCCCTCCCAATTCACTGCTCTGACATCTTTTAGGATACGACCATCATGCTCTTGGTCCATGATGGCGCCCTCTACATTTCAGGCAGCAGGATGGCAAAGGGGAAGAAGAGGGAGGGGCAACTGGCAGACATGAACTGCCTCTTAAAGAAGGTTCCCAGAAGCTTCCACCCACCCTGTCCACCTAGATCCTTTTGGCTAGAACTCAGCTACATGGCTACCCCCAGCTGCAAGGCAGACTGGTAAATGTCAGCCTTATTCCGGGCACCTACTTGTACAGCTAAAACTTCCATTCGTGGGAAAGAAGGAGAAACCTAATATTGGAGATAACTAGCATCTTAGTCAAAGGGTCAAAAATATAAATTATTATAAGACATGAGAAGGCAACCCTCACGATAGTTTTGTCTAGAAGGCGGAAGCTCATTGATGGGGAGGGAAAATAGGCTGGTGGGGGGATTGGTGGTGAGGAGGCAGATGAAGCATTGGCTTCTCCATAATGGGAGGGGTAGGGAGGTTTGGGGTTTTCACAGGTGACAGAACTAGTGTCCTCTTTGAACACAGATCCCTGGGGGTACCAGGGAGTTTGGACAAGGTGCCAAGACTTTGATAGCACTGGCAAAACACTCTGTGGTCGAATCTCTGGCTAAAAGAAAATATACTGAAAATGAGAAGCATCCCCAGGTCCTTGGAGAGGACAGAGGCTGGGAGACAAAGCAGGGTAAGTGCAGTGGCATCATGGAGCAGGAGGAGCGTCAGTACCTCTGGTGGCTCCCAAGGACTGAGGTCCAAGCACCTCCCTCATTTTTCAGTCACAACATAAGTTCCCTAGATTTTGTACATCTTTGGGAATTGGCAGGGAATTCTCCCACATACGCCTGTGATTGAATGTCTCAACACTCTAGCTAGTGGGGCTCTACAGCCAGATTCAACCTGATTTAAAACAAAGTATTTTGGCATTTGTTGTATTTGAATGCTGTGGAACAAATTCATAGCCACTCACTTACATTACTGTCACAGTCCCAGCAATCTTTTTGAGGTTGGTGTTATTTCCCCTGCACTACAGATGAAGAAACTGACGTTCCAAGGGGTTATATCACTTATGCAAGACCAAATGGTTTGGCTGGGTCACAATTCACACCCAGATCTGTCTGACTCCACAGCCAACACCAGTGACCTGGTACATGTTGAAAGTGAAGGAAGAATAAACTTGTGAAGGGAAAAGTTACCAACTGCCCAATATTGCCAATAGTCAGTCAGGATCCTGTCTAGAGATAGGTAAGTATAGAAGGTACAAGATTTGCAATTGCAAGTAACAGCAATAAAACTAGAGTAAGCAGAGTAACAATGATTCAAAACATGTGTTGGTTTATGGCTCTGGGAAGTCCACATGTCATCTGGCTTCATTTATGACTGTCTTTTCCCAAATCTTAAGTCTCCTTTCCACTGTGTTGGTTCCATCCTTAGGTGTGTCACCTCCATGTGGCAACAAGATGGTGGTCAGCAACTCCAGGCTTATATTATACTAGATCGGCAGCCCTAGAAAAAACGAGAACATCTCTTCTCCAATAATTCCATCGAAAGTGCCAAGATTGTTCTCTTTGGCCTGGATGAAGTCACGTGCCCATCCCTGAGCCAGTCACGGAAGGCAGGAGGATGGAAGACGATGATCTGAGTCATGTCACCACCTCTGCAGTGAAAGTAGAAGGTGACTCTCCAAGGGGAAATCAGGATGATTTTACTGGAGAGGAGGGAATGGATGTGGACTGCAGCAGCAACAGATATTCACTGCAGAGAACAGAGCAAAGTAACCCCCAAATGTACACTCATACATGTGCATGTGCACACACGTGCACATGCACACATACACTCCCTCCCTCATGAGCTGCGAAGATCAGCAAATCAGGCTCCACCCAGTTCTGGAGCAAGTGAGGTGAAGTGATATGAGTGCCGAGAGCCACTTCCTAGAATTCACTCCTAAAAGTCCCTCTTCGGGGCCGCCTTCCTCAGTAGAGAAAGGTGACCCCCAGGCAGCAGTAATAGAAACCTGTTGAACGCCCTGCTGACTTCCTCCTTAGCATTTGGCCAAAGGCAGACTCTCTAAGAAATAGAGCATGGGGACATCCATTCTCTTTCCCAACCCAAGAGTTATCAAACTGGTGGTCTGGGCATCTTCCAAAGGCATGATCATGAAGGGATAATAGAAATGTGCTTGGATGGGGATGCAGTCATGCTTGACTGTGTGGCAGAAGAGATATCCTTGTTCCAAACCATCTGCCACCTTGGAAATGACAGTAACAAGACTTAAGCTGCCAGATTGCTTATATAACCTGCATATGCACGTAAGCAGAAACAGAGATGCTATGTAAATCAGTCAAATAGCATCATGCAAGCACGTGACACATCCATGTCATTTTCCCAAATAAATGGATTTTACATGGTTGCATCAAAGTACAGACACTCTGTCTCCCCAGAGAAAGTCTGAACTCTACCCAGCTGTCACTCTGCCTTAGGACAATCAGGGGATGCCTCACATGTTCTGAGCCCCCCACACCTCTCTCCCTGTAGGGACTCTCTGAATATTCTATCTGTGCTTCTCCCAGATCCGTAGTGCCTCTGACACTCAGAACCCAAAAGCCAGATTTTCATCAAGCTAGAATTTTCAGACTCCGAGTTCTCGGGAGAGGTGGACAACATTGACCAAACTGACAAGTGTGAATAACGTCATTCGCTGGCCTAAAGCAAAATGTAAAGTCCATCTCTGGCAAGCGTTTAGGACCTTTGAATGAGGAAGTGTATGCTAACCTCGCTCTTGGCTTCATCTTCTCTTTCCTGCTTTCAATTGATCCTTGTTTCACCTTCCTCATCTGCTTATCTTTGTTATGGCATGGTCAGTATTTCTGCAAGCCTATTTACATTCTTTCTAGCATGAGGTGGCATGCAAATAAACAAATTCTCCTGTAGTCCTTTTCCATTGATAGTGTCACCATATCCTCAGAAGCCCAAGCTAGAAAGATAGCGTCATCCATCTCTCCTCCCTCTCTTCAGCCCCATCCTATTAACCATTATTACTATTCTCGTACCTAGATGTTTATCAGACCGTTCCCAAACTCTCCATCCCTGCTGCTACTCCACCAAAAACCTTTCTAAAGGTTCTCCATTTCCAGCCTTGCCCTCTTTCGATCCATCTTCAATATCGATGCTGCTGTGACCCACCCAAAATTCAGATCCATCACGTTCTCCTCTGCTGTCAGTTCTCCCATGGCCCCTATCACCCACAACAGTGTTTTCACACTCTTCCAATAAGCTCTGAGGGGCATCCTAAGTAATTTGTGGCCAAAAACAACTCAAGTACCAGTGTCTGTGGGCGGTTTCCCTTTTTGTGTATAAATATCAACAGATTGGAGAGGGATGGGCCAGGCGTCGTCAGTGCGAGTGCTCACAGCTTCCCCTCCCCGCTTCCAAAGGGTATTAGTTTCCTGCAGCTCCCATAACAAAGGACCACAGGCTGGGTGGTTTAAACAACAGACATTTATTTTCTCACAGTTTTAGAGGCTAGAAGACCCAGATCAAGGTGTCAGCAGGGCTGGTTTCTTCTGAGGCCTCTCTCTTTGGCTTGTAGACGGCCGTCTTCTCTCTCTGTCTTTCCTACTGTCTTCCCTCAGTGCATGTCTATTTCCAAATTTCCTCTTCTTATAAGGACACCAGTTATGTGAGATGAGGGCCCACCGTAATGACTGCATTTATCTTAATTACCTCTTTAAAGACCCTATCTTCAAATATGGCCTCATGTTGAAGTCCTAGGGGTTAGGACATCAACATATGAATTTTAGGGGAGGGAGGACACAATTCCTCCCCTCGCACAAAGAGTATCCTATGATTGCAAATGCAATCCTTGTTCGTCCATCTCATATTCCCCCAGAATTAGGAATGATTCCTCTTTGCTGGAGGGAGACCCAGATCATCTTGTCTAGCACAGGATTACAGAGTAAAGGAGAGGGAGAGAGAGAAAAGCTGCCCAGGGCTGTGTTGGGAGAGGGATGGTATGGGTATGTTATGGGGTACTACAAGAACAGGAGAAGGGAATGGGAAATGAAGGAGGAGCTTCATGAAGGTGCTCTGAACTAGGTTTTTGAATCTCCTTCATTGCTTTTGAGAAATATGAACAAAGTCATTTGATTCCCATTTGGGTGCCACGTTAAAAAATCAGCAAGGCAAGAAGAGGGCATATAATGAAAATAACTCTGAATCTCTTAGGGAGCCCATTAAATACAATATACACTGAGTTTGGTGTATGGCCAACCCTGTCAGCCTTCCTTCCAGCGACAGCTGTGTCGTGTCACTCACTGGTTTTTAGGTGGACCCTTTATCTGTCTTTAGCACCCAGGTTGTATGAAAAACACACGTCTTTAAATACTAGAATCCCACTTGGCTCAGAGAGGAGCTCACCTTATGAGAGTAACCTGGGAACGTGATTCTGGTGACGGGACATGAACGTCAGTGCTCTCGTTTCGTGCTCATTTGTGCCAGGGGATGGAGGGTGGGATTGGCTGGACCATTCACATTGTGCCCACTCTCTCCCTTGCCTGCCCCTATCTTCACTTTTGCATGTTCTTTGCTAAGCATGAAGAGTTGAATTGGATTAAGTCAAAATGCCGGGATGATTTGACTCCACAGTAAAGGGTTTGAGCTAGTTGGACGTTACACCTGTTGCTGGACTATAGTTCTTTGACCCCAGCTCTTCTTCAAGCTCCAAACCTGCTGGGTCCAGGCTTCATAAGGAGTGTGCAAACCTCATCTTTTTCACATACTTGCTGGATAGAGAAAGGGGTGCAGATACAGCCAGTGAGCTGGTAATTGTGCTCAAGTCTAGGCACAACCAAGGAAATCATTTACACAGTGGGATGCCATCTGTGTGTGTCCAGCTATGGGGAAAACAAGTTGACCTATGGGACAAACCACAAATTTTTCAGACAACAAACAGGCCCCACCATGCTCTGTCTACCTTCAGCCACTACCCACCATGGACATTCTGCTCCAGAAACACTAAGCCACTTTGTATTACACACATACATACACTTTTTAAATTTCTTTTCTCCATTTATTTGGTAAACACAGTCTTCCCTCCCTCTGTATGAACTAATATTACTACCAAGGTGTACCTCCCAGGGATCCTTCTTCTTTGGGTTAGATTGGGACCTCACCTCATCCTACCACAAATATCTGCTTATGGGTTGACCTGCTCTGATGTTTGAGTTACTTGAGCCTGAGGGTTGCATCTTATTCATTCATCTTTGCATCCCTAACACAGAAGCTGGTGCATGACAAATGCTGGAATCTGGCTAATTGCCCAAACTTTCCTCCCTCTAGGATTTTAACTAGTTGGTACCAAACACTGAGGCCACGTGACAATCTAAGTAGAGTGTCATCCTCATCCTTGGCTGGGCAGGAGCCATTAACCTCAAGATGTAGGGTTTCTGGTTAACTGTGTTGGTGACTATGGCTTAGGCTTAGAGCCAAACCCAGCCTTCCTCCCACGCCTACATCTAAACCCTGAAAAGCGAGGAGGAAGGAAGTGCCGAGGAAATGAGCTTTTGTCATCATCATCATCAGTAGAAGAGCTGATGCCGATAAATGAAGAAACTGGCCAATGTTTGACTTTTTCTAGGAAGACCACAAGTTGGGTTCTTTTTATGACAAGACCCCATAATGATAACAAAATGTACTGCAAAGAAACAGGCTTCAGCAAAAATAAAGTGCAGGTGTTTCCTGAGACTCGTGGACGAGATTGCATGAGGGGGTCGGAGAGCAGCTTTGGTGGTTCACGTTATCTACCCAATGTTTTTCTAGCAAACACAAACCATTTCCATGGCTGGTGGAAGTCACTCTGGCAGCTGCCCTGCTCCACTCCACCTGAAGGCAAAGCTTCAGAAACCATAAAGGGGTGGATGGGTACAGCAAGGGTGCCACCATCTGCCTGAGGGCTTATAGACAACGTCAGAACCTGGTATAAAGAGGAGAGCAGTGCAAGCCCATTTTGTGGGTCCATCAGAAAACTTAACAATATCTGTTAAAAATGTCTTAAATGAATCTCCTCCCAAAGTCTATAAGGAGACGTTTCTGCGAAAAAGAAATATAAAGGACTCTCACATATAAGAAAAGATGCTAGCTTTCTCACCAAAGAGAAACACCACTTAAAACTATGATAAGATACTATTTTCACCTTATCAGAGTGGTGAGAATTATATAGATGATCATATCCTGTCGAAGGGAAAAAAGCTCTTTCATATATTATTGATGGAAGAATAAATTGGTATCATCTCTATGATGATGAATTTGTCAATATTGACCAAAATTACAAAAGCCCATAACCTTTGACCCAACAAATTTGCTTCTAGAAATTTATTTTATAGCTAAACCTGCATAGGAGCAAAATAATGTACGTCCATGGTTATCCATTGCAGAATTGTTAAAAAGACAAGAAAATGGAAGGAACCTACATTTACATCAAAGGGGGGGTCTACTTAAACAATTTATGGCGTATCCATACGGTGGACTATTACATAGCAGTGGAAAAGAATTAAGCTTAATTTTATGTACTGAGGTGGAAGCTTTTCAGCATATATTATAGTGGTGGGGACAAAAGAAAATTGCAGAAGAAAACCTACAGTAGATACCATTATGTAAAAATGTACGTGTGTATTTATGTAAATGCAGAGGGAGAGGTCTGGTTACCAAGAGTGCAACAGTATTTCTTGACGGCAAGTTATTCAAATGAATATGTTTATTACATGAGTGCTCCCTCTGGGTATTGATTTTAGCAAATTGCCCTTAGCAAATATTCCTATCATCACAGACGTTTTTAGAGCTGGAAGAGTCCTTAGAAATTATCAGACCCAACCCCCCTTACTCTACAGATGGGTAAAGTGAGGTCCAGGTTGTTTAACGCCAAAGACTGGACGGGAATCCAGGTCTTTCCCAAAATGAATAGGGCACACACCAAAAAATTCCCAGTCTTTGTGTAAAACTTACCTTTGTTATGATTGCTCTGTTTTCTTAGATGACTTCCGAGCTGCTCCAACCTCACCTCCACCCCACCTCAGCCCCAGGGAAACATTTCCCTGGGCTAAAAACAGAAGTGAGAGAAGGAAGTTCATTTCACAAAGGTGAAGGCTGCTGGGAAATCAAGTATGGTCTTTCTAATAGTGGAGGGTGCTACACCATCAGTTTAATTCCTATTCATTTGTGGTGCTTATTAGAGTGTCTGAAAATATAAGCTGAGTAATTGGAGCATTAGAATTGATTAATTGAAGTAGGCTTTTGGTGTAAATACACCTGGAGAGGTTTTTCAAGGTGGGATTCTCTGCTAGAGATCTGGAGGAACTCAGACCTCTGAACTTGGGGATAAGGATGGTGTAGCAGTTTTAAAGCATGGCTGCAAGTTTTTTGACACTCCTGCCATCAGAGGTGGGGTCCATGTCCCCGCCCCCTTAAATCTGAGTGGGCTTATCGTGGCCTCAACTTATAAAGTATGGCAGAGGGATGCTATGTGACTTCCAAGGCTATGTCATCAAAAGCCAGGCAGCTTCCGCTTGGAAGCCTCTACTTGCTCTTGGAGCCCTGAGCCACCATGAAAGAAGTCTGAACATCCGAGGTTACCATGTTGAAAGGAGGCCCAAGCCACTGGGAGGGACCACATGTAGGTACTCCAGTCAACAGCTGCAGCCAAGCCCAAATGGCAGATCTGTGAGTAAAGAAGCTTCCAGGGGCCGGCCCGGTGGCACAGTGGTTAAGTTCCCACGTTTCGCTTCTCAGCAGCCTGGGGTTCACCGGTTCGGATCCCAGGTGCAGATATGGCACCACTTGGCAAGCCATGCTGTGATAGGTATCCCACGTATAAAGCAGAGGAAGGTGGGCATGGATGTTAGCTCAGGGCCAGTCTTCCTCAGGCAAAAGAGGAGGATCGGCAGTAATTAGCTCAGGGCTAATCTTCCTCAAAAGAAAAACCAAAGAAGCTTCCAGATGATTCCAGGTTTCAGCCATTTGAGTCATTTCCAGCTCTTCAAATCTCCCCAGCTGAGACCTCAGACAAGGTAGCCCCAGTATTTCCTGTCCCAAGTCCTGACCCACAGAATCCCTGAATGTAATAAAATAGTTTTTGTTCTAAGCCACTAAATTTGGAGTGGTTTGTTATAGATAAAGATATATCAACAGGGAGCTGGAGCAGGTGGATCCTATGACAGCAAAATTGCCCAATCCCCGTGGCCCCAAGAAAAGAGCTCCTCCAGAAATTAGTTCTGATCCCCATGTGAGATGATTTCTTATCTCCTCAGCTGAGCTCTAATTTGCTTGTCCCTTTACTCTAGGAACAATAACTCATTACTGTCCCCGCCGACCTGTCTGTGTCCACCTCTAGAGTAGGAATCCTCAGCTGCAGGGCTCTCTCTTCTTCTTTTTTAGAGCCCCATACCCCAGTACCGGGTCTGGAACCCACGAGGAGCTCAAGACATGTTTGTTGGATGGATGGCTGCAAGAACGCCCTTCTTTGGGGGAATCATCAGAAAATAATCGTAGAGGTTATCTAACCCATCCCTCTTACTTTACCAGGCCAAGAGAAACAGAGGGACAGACCCAAGGAGACACAGCTAGTTAATGAACCAGGACCACAGTATCCTGCCCTCGTTCTGCTCACTGCCCTTGAGATGCAGCAAGGCAAAGTGGGAGGCAGGGAAGCAGGGTGGTCAGGAACGTGGGCTCCAGAGACGGGCAGCCCTGGTCCAAGATCTCAGCTGGCCACCCTCATTGGTGTGTGGTGGTGTCTTTTCCAGAAGCAATGAAAGAGATTTGACAGCTCACCTCCTGCCAGCCCAACTCTCCATGAAGAATAAACAAGCTCTTCTGGGCTTCCAAGCTCTGAGTCCTTCCTTTCAGCATCTAAATCCCTGCTGTAGAGAGAAAGCAGTGGACTAAGCTTTTTTTGTGTTGAATGGCCTTTAAAATTTGTCAGAGTTTGGAGACACGGAGAGAGAACTACAGGGACAGGGAAAGGAGAAAGGGAATCTGACTCCAGGGGATTGGTCCTACAGAGGCCAGTAGACCAGGGCAGTGGTTCTCAACTGGGGGACTTTGCCATGTCTAGATATGCTTTTGGTATCACAGCTTGGGGTGGCTACTGGCATCCAGTAGACAGAGGCCAGGCATGCTGCCAAACAGCCTACAATGCACAAATCGCCCCCCACCACCAAGAACTATCCAGTCCAAAATGTCAATATCACCAAGGTTGACAAACCATGAGCTAGAGAAAGGATGGCCGTGAGGGGCAGCCTGCAAGCTCCTCGGAGCAGTGGCCAGACTAAAGGACCCATCCCATTGCCAGGGCTCAGGGATGGCTCATAGGGAGGCCTGCTCAACCTTGTGATGGGTCTTCACTCTGCCTGTGCTTCAAGACCGCTGGTCTCCAAATGAGGATGTTCCCTAGTAATGCCCAGCAATGCAGGAGCAAGCTCCAGCAGACAGGAATGGGGACAGGCCAGGATGCATCAGTGCACTCTGAACTGAGGACATGGACCTCTCTATCACAGCAGAAAACAAAGGTATTTAAGCAGAGTTCTCCGGGCAGAGTTTGTGGCAAGAGAGGTGGTAGAAGACAGAAGTAACAGGATGGGACCGAGCCGGTGTCTCAAAAAGCATTAAAGCAGATGTGACTCCAACCGCCCGCTAATGATTGTGATTATTTGGCTGCCTATGAGACGGTTTAAGGAATGATTTGTGAATTTAAATTTTAATTAAGGCAGAAGCCCTTGGGGGCCTCTGGAGTTCAAGCATAAAAAAAGAAAATCTACTGCTGGAAGGAGAGGGCTCGGAGGCCCCACGGCCCAGAGGAAGTGCACATCCTACATGTCTGCTGGTCTAGCAGCCTGCAAGGGAGCCCAAGTTTGAGGTCACTAATCAACACTGGGATCCAGGGTCAGGGCTGGACAACTCAACGGAACTGTGCACTTTGGTGTTCTAGAAGTTCTTTAGGTAAAATGATAAAAATGAAGCAAGCATCCAAGTTTTCCACCTCTTTCTTGGGTTCTAACCTTTAAAGTGTGCTACCCACCACCCACTTCACTAGCCTGAGACCCAGCATCAGATTCTGGGATGTAGTCTGTCCACCATCATTAATACCCCCAAGTGACTTTGAGCTCCATTATTCATACTGAGTCTTGGTTTCTCCATGTGAGACTGATATTGCCACCCCTGGTTACCTCCTAGAGCCGTTTGGAGCCTCCATCCTAAGGCAGATGAGAGCACTTTGAAATAGGAAAGCTCACCCCACTCACAAGATTGTCCCCGAGGTCTAGAAAAAGCTGCCTTTCACTTCTCATGGGCACTACAGCAAAGAAAACATACCCAACCCGAGACAACGGTACAGCCCTGGCCTTCCAAAGAGCAGACAACATTCTCTCTCAGGCTTAACTCCACTGGATCCTAGAGACATGGGTTCAAGTCTTAAGTCTACCACAGACATCTTTTGAAATTATTTTTCTACTGTGGTACATAACCCGTGACACTAAATTTACCATCTTCACCATTTGTAAGTGTGCAGTTCAGTAGCGTCAAGTATATCCACGTTGTTGTGCAACAGATTTGCAGAACCTTTTCATCTTGCAAAACTGAAACCTCGGTGCATTTGAACCTCAACTCAGCCTCCTGGTAACTGTGAGATTTTAACTCTCTCTGAGCTATGTTTGGTTTACTCAGTTGGAACATAAGGATTTTTTTTTTAATTACTTTTCAGGATTGTTGTATCACATATAACGTGTTTCCCTGCTGCGTAATAGGTGTTCAGTAAATAACTATTATTTCTGTGTTGCTCTCCTTGTCTGACAAACAAGGCCTTCCTGAAGGTGATAGTGTAGCCCAAGGACTGCCTGAAGTAGGAGAAGGAGGAAGGGGTGGGAGAAAATGGGGAGACGACTGGGTTTTGTATTCACAAATACTCCTTGTCCAGAAAAGAACCATTTATCAAAGTACCAGAGTCTCATGTACTGTCAAAACACAAGCGCTAATTACATTTGAAGAACAATGGACTAGGAGAGCAAAAAAGACAAGGCCTATTCAATTAATGTGGGGGGGGGGGGGTCTCCAGCATACAATATTTTGGACATCAGATTGGAATGGTTTAATCAGCCATTGTTACAGACTCTGGACTGTCTGTTATTCTAAAAGCCATTAGTCATCTGTAGCTTTAAAGCACGTCATTTAGATTTTCTCATTCAACAATCATGTTTGGAGCACCTGCGATGTGTCAAGCACTGTGCTCAACACTGGAGAGACAGCACAGTCTAGTGGAAGACAGACAGGTTGGCCCACTTACGGGCGTCTCCAAATTATTCTGTCCACAACAGAGCTCTAGGTCTACCCAATCCCGTGCTCCTCGCCCAGCTTCCACATTTCAGTAAAAGGCCTCTACGCTGTCCAGTTGTTCATGTCAAAAACCATGGAGTCATCTTTGAGTTCTCTCTTTCTATTAGATTCTACCTTCATTATGTTAACAAGTCCTGTTGGTTCTAACAGCAAAACAGCTCTTGACTCCATCCACTCCTCTGCAGGCACCCGGCGATTACCCCAGGCCAAGACACCCGCTCATGCTTGGGTTATTGCAAGAGCTTCTCTTAAGAAGAAAAACTGTTTTTTCCGAGTCAGTGCTTCCTTCCCATTGCAATCCACATGACATCTGGAGTGATCTTTTAAAATCGTGAATCACGTCATGCCATTCCTCTGCTTAAAACTCTTCAAAGTCTTCCTGATGCACTGAGATTGGAATCCAGAATCCCCCATCTGGCCTACAGGCTTGCACATGCTATGTCCCCGCTCACTCCCATCACCTCATTCCACACTACACTCCTGATTGCTAGCTAAGCTCTAGGCCCATCAAGCCCTTTCTTGCCTCTAAGACTTTGGCCTTTCTGTTCCCTTTGCACTGGCTCTTTCTCCATCTCTTCACAAGCCTAATTCCTTCTCATCTTTGAGGCCTCAGTTGAAGTATTACTTCCTCAAAGAGGTTTTTCCTGACTTCACTAAGTGACTTCTCCCAGTTACTCTCCGGTTCATCACCTTATTTATTTCTTGCATAGTACTCACTCCATTGACAACCATCTGGTGCATTTATTGGTTCATGGGATGTCAGATTCCCTCCAGTCAATGGCTATCCTGATGGACGGGGCTTTATCCATGTCCTTCACAGTTGTACTCCCAATGCCTTGACAGTGCCTGGCACACGGAAAATGCTCAGCAACTATTAATTGACTAGACGAATAAAGGTAATAATGTGCAGGGCAGAATGAGAGCTCAGGAGGGGACAGAAATAATTCTCCAGAGAGGACAGAGCTTTCAGTGAAGATATGCTGTGAGCCAGGCTCAAAACGTTGACTGGGAATTTTCTAGATTAACAAAGGTAGAAAAACAGGAGCAGATTGAGGGGTAAAAGATTGATAGATTGGGGGTAAAATGCATCACAGCCACAAGGAACCACTGAACCTGCATGAAAGCACAGAGTCCCTCCGAGAGAGTGAAACTTCCAGCTAATTCCAAACACAGTCACCACCTCACTAACAGGGTGATGGAGGAATGATAGCCAGGATAATCAATCCCAGATCACAACCAAAGCAAAATAGCAGTCAACTCTCCAATATCTGGGAGTGGGTGATCCATGCTTACAACATAACAGAGTCCTGGTTCTGCTCAATGGGGCTCAAGTAACAGGAGGTGATGAGTAAAATTTACTGGTCCCAGGTGTTGGGAGGCAAGGAGTTCATTAAGCTGCTGAGATTTATTGAATAATAGGGTCTCACCTCAGCCCTCTCCATGTGGAGCAACTGTGATCCAGGCTTGGTTCCCCTGGGACCTGCAATCAGTCCTTACTTAGCTCTTGCCTACCTAGCAAATCCCTGTGGAGATATATGTCTAGAGTCTATGGCTAATCTGAAAGCTGGCTGGTCAGTCTTAGATAACTAAGTATTGAACACAGAGTTGGTTGCAGGTTGGAGAGCAGCAAGAACTGGCAACAAACAAGTCTATACAGGCAACAAACAGAAGTAGGGCATTTTATCCTTGTATCTGTGGGAGGACTTCAGGCAAGGGAGTGACCTAGATATGACGTGAGCAAGGTTGCTCTGGCCACAGTGCAGCGCTCAGATTGGAAGACAAAGTCCAGAGGAAGGAGACCTGAGAAATAAGCTGTGGGGAGAAAGGCCGGACTTCTGAGAACTATTTGGGAAGCAGAAATGTTAAGGATTTGGGTGATCCTTGGGTGTGATAAGTAAAGAGGAGGGAAGAATCTGGGGTGACACTGAGATAGTCAGCTTATATTTCTGGGTGAACTTAGCCACTAATCAAGATAGGTAACATCATTGAAAGAATAAGTGGATTCAGAAAATTTCAGAGACTGTCTCAGTTTTCACGTGTCTTCTTGGACTTCATCACTGCAAGGATTTCTGCACCTTGTAGGGGTGGACTGCATTATTTCCATAACCATTTGTACCCTGCTCTGTCTTCCCACTGGTAGACTATAATCTTTACCCTATTGTCGTCAGGCTTGGCAGCCAAGTGGCTTGTCTTGACCAATAGAATGTGAGCAGATGTGACACACACCGCATGGAAGCAGGAGCTGTAAACATACTCCGGGGGTTTGGTTCTGCCCAACGTGAGCTTCTGTCACCCACCATGAGAACAGCAAGCCCCTGAGGGTGACTTTGCTTGAGAAGATGTGCGAGTGAGGCCAGGCCAGCCCAGCCCAGGAGAGCTATGGGCAACCTACAGCTCTGATGTAATACGAGCGAGGAACTTACACTTCTGAGATTGGGGGGTTGTTGGTTGCGGCAGGAAAAGCTGACTGTGACATGTACAGAGTCTCGGTGATCTCCAGCAAGTGAGTGACCCTCTCTGGCTCCTAATTCCCGCATTGATAAAGTTGCACTAGGTGATTCCAAACTCCTTCCTAGTTCAAAATTTTTTTTTAAGACTGTGTCACTGCTCTAGATTATAACATTGAGGTTTTGAGCATTATTTTCCCCCTTTCCAACAATATAGGTTAATCAGGCAACTTCAACTTAGCAGACTCCAGACTGGCAGTCAATGATGCCAAACCAGCACAAGACCAGAGTGAAAAGGCCTGGGATGGTTTAAGCTGCTGCAGCAGAAACTTCTATTCTAAAGACCATGAGATTAAAAAAAAAAATCCATAGAGCACAAACCTGCCTCATTCAGCTGCTTCGGTTATTTATATGAGCATTTCCTGATTCAAATTGCATACTCAAATCAAATTTCCCTGGTTTATGCCTTCTTCAGCAATTACTTAAAGGCAGTTTACCTCTCTCTGGAGGAACATAGCAGAAAGGCCTATAGACAAAATCTCATTGACTCGGGGAGAGAGAAACGAACTCCAGGCCTGGTGCTGCAGAAGTCACTTTGTGCACGGAAGTGAACGCTGATAGGCCTCTGGCAGTTTTTCAGCCTCACTGATGGGAGGGTGTTCTTTAAGGAGGATGGTGAGGCCCATGGAAATTGAAGCAGAGGGGTAGGCTGTCAGGGTGGGGAGGAAGGGACCACCTTCTCTTCATAGAGTTTTTTTGGTGGGGATCAGCAGGCTGACTAAGACTGCTCCCAGGCCAACGGGATTGAGAGAACTCAAAGGGGACAGGGAGACCGTGATCATTTCTGCACCAGAAAGTTTCTGGGTCCTTGAAAACTCACCTATCGCAAAACTATGCAATGGGCAAAGTTTATCTTCATCATACGGTCAACTTGCCTTTAACTCACTTTTCATCATTTGGAATTCCTTCATTCTCCACCAAGGAAGCATCCTTTGTTCATTCGTTTACTCCAGGGAGGGCTCTCATTGGTTGGGCTTGGGCCACGTGTTCATCCTCAAGCCAATCACTATGGCCCAGACAATACAGTGTTCTGATTGGTCAGGTCTAGGTCATGTGCCCATTAATTTCCCTCATCGCTAATTCTATCTTACGTTTCCTTCTTCATTCAGTTGTTCAGCTAGGTGGATCTTATCTCTATTTGCCTGCCTGAAATCCACTGCCTTTTCTTTTACTAACAGCACTGTGGATTTATTGAGGGGGATACTTCCCCACTGTTCCCTTACATATTGTAGCAGTGAAGGTGCCCTCTGCTCCATTGCCTCCACTGAGTTAGACACGTGACACAGACCTGACCAATCAGAACGCTGCATTGTCCAGACCATAGAAACTGGCTTGAGGCTGGACATGTGCCCAAGCACAACCAACGAGAGTCCTCCCTGGAACTTTTGCCAGAATTATCAGAAAAAAAGGAAGGGAAATTCTACCAACTTACTGTGAAGAAATGAACAAAGACAGGAAGTATTAATATAGATAAAATATCTCTAGTTACAAGAAATACAGTGAAAAGAAGAGGCTGTGATGTTAGCCTGGAATGTACCTCTTAGCAGCCTGGAAAACCTTGGGCAATGAACATATCTCCTCATCTGAGAAATGAAGATGGTAATGACTACTCTTGTGCCTAATAGTCGGTGAAGATGCCACATCGTCTCTCCTATCCAAGTGGCTGGAATAAGGACCTTTGAGATGGTGGAGTTGCAAGATGGAAGCACCCCAGACCCCTGAGTTTACAGAGGCAGGCATACGGCAACAGAGGAAACAGATGCTATTTCTGCCTGCCAGCATCTATTTCCAGGCCACTTCAGTGGTTTGTGGGAACAAAACTGTTTAAAACTGGGAGCCAGTCCTGACACCCTGGTGGTTAAAGTTCGGTGCTCTTGCCGCTTCGGCAGCCAAGGTTTGGTTCCTGGTCATGGAACCACACCACCCATCTGTCAGTAGCCATGCTGTTGGTAGTGGCTCACACAGAAGAACTAGAAGGACTTACAACTCGGATATACAACCACACACTGTGGCTTTAGGGATGGGGGAAAAAAAAGAAGAGAAGAAGAAGTTTGGCAACAGATGCTAGCTCAGGGTGAATCTTTCCCTGCAAAAAAAAAAAAAAAAAATTGAAATTGAAACTGTTCCTGTATTCTACAGTAAGTATGTGGGGATTATGAAATAATCAGTGTGATCAGGAAAAGATATGGAAAGCATCCAACCATAAAAAAGGGCAAATCTGGACAAATCATCCAATTTTAATGGCATTCTGAAAAGGAGGTAAGCAGAGGTGAGTCATATTAAGAATCTACAAAAACTAGAAAGAAAAGCTAGATGAGCTAACTGGGTTGGTAATATCCTCTGCAATGGAGGAAATATAGGCATAGTGATTGAAATCACGAGATTTGGGATTAGTTTAATGCAACAAGGATTAAATGCAAAGATTTAAGGCAACAGGGTTTGAATTCCATTTCTGCTACTTGACTACTTGAGCAAGTCGCTTTATCTCTCAGCCTGAATTTTATCATCTGAAATATGAGGCCTAAAAGAGTCCCCATCTCATGGTGTGTTGTAAGGATGAAGTTAAATGATCCATGGAAAGTGCTTAGTACACAGTAAGAGCTCAATAAATTATCATAATGATATTATTGGCATTGTAAAATAAAGAGGGCTATCTGAAGGAGAGGAAGGAATTAAAGGAGCAAGATGAAGTTATGGTAGTTGGGGTGGGAGCCAAGGGCCACTAGCAATGAGCAAAGGAGCAGAAGGAAAAGGACAGTTAGAAGGTGATGCTCACGCAAGAAGAGAGGCAGGAAGCCCTCACTGCAGAAGTGAGACTCTGTCTGAAATCCACAGATGAGGCAAGGGGCATGAGAACCTACAGAGGATATAACAGAGGGGAAAAAACAAAGAAAATGAAAATGGGCTTTATGCCAGAGGTGTGTGAATCCTAGATAGGGGAGAAATCCGGGAGGAAGTCAAGATAGAGGAAGAGAGGAGAGGAGGAATTGAAACACAGGACATCCAGGGAGGAAAGCTACAACTTCAAAGGAAGCCTTGAGATGCAAACACAGAAATGCAGGAGAAGCACAACTTCAAGTAGAAATGGGTAGTAGGAATAGCTTAAAAACACAGAATGGGAGAAATTATGATGATGGCGTGGGTCCCTGAACTGCAAAAAGAGCTCTAGAAGCCAAAATTTTTGGCATTATCTTTGGTACAAACTCATTTGGCAGCAAAACTGGACCTGAGCTGACATGAGGGTAGCTGTGTCCTTTATTTATCCCACATCCCACCTAGCATGAACATTCACATGTTTAACTGCAGTAATGAGCTGATCATGAAGTGCTGCCACAGACCCCACTGGGGGCGGGATGTTGTGGAATGTATGGCATATGTACTACCTTACCTTTCTCATTTCCATGGTCTTCTGAATTCCAAAAGACACAGGGCTCCAAGGGTTGCAGATCAGGGTTTGTGGGCCTGACCTGGAAGACACAAGACTGGATATGAAGAGAGAAACTTGCATCTAATAATGAAGCTGACAAAAACTACCATTTCCTGAGCGTTTACAACATACTCAACACTGTATATTCAATATCTCACTTAATCCCCACAATACGTCAGACCCCATGTTACCCTCTGTCTGTTGACATCGCAAAGAAGGCTTGGAGAAGGGAAGCAATTGTCACCAATTTACACATAGCTGGCGAAAGGCAGAATTCAGGATCTGAACCCAGCTGTGTGACCTCAGAGTTTGCACACTGGGCTCTGCTCCTCCCCCATTCACTGTAGGAAAAGAAGGGAAATAAGTGTTTCTTAGGCCCTCATCATAAGAGAGCCATTCCCAGAAATGATCTTGCATAATTTTCATAACTCAATAAAGTCATATCATTATTCCCCATCTAAGGTGCTAAGCAACTTCCAAAGTCTCACCATTAACTTATCAGATACCAAATCCATTCTCTCTCCATGAATTGCAACAATATCACAAAATGGGCTTGCAAGAGTCTTGCTCAAAGGAACAGACAGAAGAAAGCTGGGGAAGCACTGCTTCCAGAGCAAAGATTCTCCAGCACGAGTAGTCTTGGTGCCAGCGGATGGTTTTGGAGTGTGGATGGCTTTGTTCCCCCCAAAATCTCCATCAGTAACTCCCCAACCCCTTGATATGGACAACTGACGTTTTCTCATTCTTAAGTAAAACACGGTAGAAATGTACCTCCAGTCCAAACCTCCCTTCCAGCTGAACACCTAAATCCATCCTTTATAGAAATTCTGAAATTACATAACAGAAATCCAAATGCTCAAAAGTATACCAGAATACTGGGAGAAAAATCTCCCAGGAGGATAAAACATATAATCAAAAGGAATGAGGAGATAAAACAGATGATGGTAAATAATGAAAATTCAACAAGGAATTGATACGTGAGTTCTGTGAAAATTCTATCAACTGCGATGATGGGAAAGAATCTGAGAACACTCTCCACAGTTTTACAAAACTTTGTAAGGCTCGAATGAACAACAGGTGATCCAAAGTGCAAAGATTTGGGTCTCTGTGTGGCCTCTATCATGTTATAGTTAGATCTTGAATAATTAATTCAATTTCTCTGAATTTGATCAAATGATCTCTGTTCCTTGCAACCAAACAACTCTTCGCTAAACTTATATATTTGTATGTGTGTCTGTATATGGGACATACAAAAAGAAACGCTGTCAACTTTTATACTTTGTTAATGTTTCCAATCAGGCAATAAGTAGAACATTTTGAACATGATTTTGAGCATGTTGATCTGTCTGAACACTCCAAAACAGTGTGTTTGCTTCATGCTCTAAATATAGAAATATCTACTTCCTTCTGGACATGTTTGCTGAGACAAAATATTTTGTCTGTAAAGATATGCCACTTTCTGGTGCAGCCACTATGGAAAACAGTATGGAGATTTCTCAAAAAATTAAAAATAGAAACACCATATGACCCAGCTATCCCACTACCAGGTATTTATCCAAAGAACTTGGAATCAACAATTCAAAGAGATCTATGCACCCTTATATTCTTTGCAGCCTTATTCACAATAGCCAAGACACAGAAGCAACCCAAGTCCCCATCACAGGATGAATGGATAAAGAAGATGGGATATACATATATACAATGGAATGCTATTCAGCCATGAAAAAGACAAAATCGGGCTATTTATGACAACATGGATGGACTCTGAGGGTATTAAGCTAAGTGAAATAAACCAGACAGAGAAAGACAAACACTGTATGATTTCACTCATATGTGGAAGATAAATAAACACACGGACAAAGAGAACAGATTAGTGGTTACTGGAAGGGAGGAGGATGAGGAGAGGGCAAAAGAGGGAAAGGGACACATATGTATGGTAACAGATAAAAACTAGACTATTGGTGGTGAACACGCATTCTGTACAGTAACTGATGTATAATAATGTACACCTGAAATTTACAGTGTTAAAGCCAATATGACCTCAATAAAATTTTTTTTAAAAGACACACCCATTCCAACATTTTGAATGTTTCCTTTGGTTTCAATGGTTCGGCAACAGTGTCTTTAGAGAGCTTGACGTGGGTATCAGTCAGGATAAGCTAGTGGAGGCTGTGATCACAAATATGCCCAAATCTCACTCACTTAAAACAACAAAAGTTTATTTCTTGCTCAAAATTCATCCCATAGTTCGCCGGGGGAAGCTCTGCTGATCTCAATTAATTCAGGGCAGGCTGATAGAGCAGCTACCATCTCGAATAGCTCCAGCAGCCATGCCAGTGAGGGAGAAAGATCGCTGGAGGGTTGCGGGCTAATGGCTGTCTACCGGAAGTGGCGAACATCACTTCCGCTCACAGCTCGCTGGTCAGAAAGACTTAGCAGGTTGCGCTCAATCGCAAGAGACCAGGAAAAGTATTCCAACCGTGTATGCAATAGAGGGAAGAACCATAAATCTGTGCCGGTCAGCGGCAATGACCATCACTTTCTGAACAAGTGTGACCTGATGATGCAGTCACCAGTCTTGTCTCAGGCAGGTGAGCAATTCAAAAGCGTGGTCTGAAAAAACGAACACCAACAATGACAACAAAACTTACAACTAGAATATACAAGTATGTACTGGGGCTCTGGGGAGGAGAAAAGCCAAAAAACAATGACAACAAAAATCCACGCTACAGTGTTTCCAAAGTGTTTTTTCTAACTTCACTGTACTTTGAGATATAATTTGTAACTTACATTCAGGGTAATATGCCAAAATAAATTGCATGGTATTGTTCCTCACTTTTTCCTAGCAAGGAAGAACACCATGTAACTTGTTTTTGCAAAGTAATTTTTAGGTAAAGATGAAAGATGGAGAATTTTTTTTAAATTTGCATCTTGATATAACACTTTTTTTTTTTAAGTTTGCATAGGAAAAAAAAGTGTGGTCTGAGAATGGAACTTACTTCCAATACTGTAGGATTAAAAGAGTGGGCTGGGAAAGGAGGAAAGACTCAGGAAAGAGTAGAGTTGAAAGACGTCCCTCAAGTTACAAAGGGCAGGGATGAACTTGGGAATAGATTTATTTTACATCTAATTCTTAAGTCCAAACTGAGAATTGAAAGAAGCAACACCTTCTATATTTTATAGTTATTAATTGACCTATATAGTCAATGCCCCTCTGGCTCTGAGCCCCCATCCCTGCGAACTAGCAGGAAGTTTAGCCTCTGTTACTCAAGGCTGATACGGAGGAACTAGTTCTATGTTGCAGTGAGCATAGAGAGTGGGGAGCCAAACCTCAGCCCACTCGGGTACCACCAGGCTATCATCTGCTTCAGTCTCCATGGCGCCTTCAGTTATAGGGGATCTGTGGTTTACAGACCACGGTTGGGGACTGAGGATCCTTGTCAGGCTAAGGGCACCCAGTCTCCCTGGGAGCTTCACCAGCCTTC